CCGTCACAAATCACAAGTGGAAGGGGGTGTGGGGTGTGGGGGTGCGGGGAACGGGGGTACGGGGAAGAGAGGTGTAAGTTTAGGAATTTTTTTTTTAAGGATAATTTAGACATTTTATATATTTTTTTTTTAAAAAGGGGGTGTGTTTATACGAGAGTGGAGGTGTGTTTATCATCTGCCAAATTTTTTTATCAACCCTAGTGAAAGCAAAGCCCATTCACTTCTACACCATATTTCTTCTTTTTCTCATAACAATGCACTAGTTCGAAACCACTTTGTTGTTGTTGCTGTTGACGTTGCCAATGGGCTCCATTAGATTTGTTACTGCCACATAGCCCATCCACCAAATCTTTGTGGGCAGTAGCTGGTGTTTCATGAAAGCACATGAACTCATTCTCTACATTGTAGAGTCTGCCATGGAAGACCTCTCAAACCCACTATCATTCCAAGAAGCACCATCCCTTGATGATGAAGACAACAAGGAGCAGGACAATCGAGGTGTTGCATGAAGGTACTCCATTCTACAATCTGTCATTCTTTTCTTGTTTTCCTTAAACACATTCGTCGCTGTAGTTTTCAAGGGTTTTCTTTTCTACATGATTTTCATAAGAGTTTCAACAGTGTTAATAATATTTTTAATATAGTTTTATATTTTTTGTTCATCGAAATTTTAGTGATCTTATTATGTTTATATTTTGATATATATATACCATTTACGCGTGTTTATAAATTCCACACTTACGTAGACACTAGTTCTTCACAAAAGACACAAGTGGTAGATGTCAATCTAAACACGTAGTAAACTTGTGGATTTTATTTCTCGAGTCTTATTTCCAAATTAATGAAACCCACATGATAATTTGTAATTAAATGATTGTGTAAAATTACTTTACACCGTATAGTACTTTTTCTCTACAACTAATGAGAAAGACTTCATTAATATGAGAGATAGAGAGGATAAAGTTAATGTGTCTAGGTTAAAAATTAGTAGACGGTTTTTTTAATCGAAAATTTATTAATTGTAGTGATACATTAGCAATATTAAATGTTATATTTATATATTTTTTAAACTATAGATACCGATTGGTATATGAGTATATTGGGTATTAAAATGTGATTGTCATAATCACTTTCATATGCATACAGGGAAAAGGTTTTGATGACTTAAGTCCTCTAAAATTTTTCAATACATGTCTTCTGAATTTCCTTAGCTTGACAGAGGCAGGGAAAGAAGATTGCAAAATTAGACAGGAGTTTCGGATTATTTATGTTAATAATAAAGGTAAAAATTATCGTAATGTAGAATATAAATCATAAAATGTTCAATAAGTGGAATATTTTTATTATTATATTATAGATTAAAATGAAATATCAGCAATCACAATGTTTACGTGATTTCTTTTAAAATATTGAAACAAAATATAATTAAAAAAAAAAAAAAAACTTTGTACATGTGAGCCTTGTCCATTTCACAGTTTCATTACCACAGTTGTTTTTTACATTAAGGCGATCCTAAATTACAGACCAAAGGTAATTAAGATGTATGGTATTTAATATAAAGTAAATTAAAAGGAAAGGAAAGAAGGAGAAATTAAAGAAAAGTGATTAAATTTATTTCTTTGATTTAATTGTATTTTTTATCTTTTAGGTATTATAATTCTTCAATTTTGATTTTTTAAGTATTAATTCTACGATATTAGTGCCTGATTTTGAAATTATCCACTACAGTTATTTATCAGTCTTGTTGGTATTAATCAGGAGATAACACAAACAACGTATTAGTGTTATTTGAAAAAAATTTAAGCTTCAAATCAATTAAAGATTAGATAATTAAACAATATATAATTAAAAAACAATTTTTATCTTATAAATCAATTTTATAAAATTAAACTAGGTTCAAATTTATTATTAAATCATTTATCATTTATTTGAAGAATAATTCTCACCTTTCAAACATTATTTACATAAAGTATAGTTATCCACGTGAACTGTGGGACAACACAAAATGTAGGCGAAAAAGTTTTATCAAAATTGGAGTCGTTACTTGTTAGGCAACTTATGTCGGAAGACTCTGAACAATTTAGTATATGATGCCTCGAATGAACCAACCGTACGTCTCCTCAAAATAATTCCTTGTCACTGTTGCAGTTCAACCTGGTTCAATTTTTTTTTTTTTTTTTTTTGCTTGTTTGTTTGTTTGTTTCTTAGGTAATCCACAATGTGAAGTTATTTCAATTTCACTCCTTGAGTGCATATGGAGGAAGACGATTGATTTTCCTTGGCTCTTAGTACTTTACATATGTTCAAAACCAAAAATGAGAGCTGTAAGATAACCACCTACTGAAAATGAAAGATAATTAAGTTTCCCCACCTAATAAGTATGAGAAAATAAATATTGTAAAAAGAGTACTATTTTAATTTATCTTTTTGTACTACTTTAATAGTTAACTTATCTACTATAAGTTGATAAAAAAAAGTTGTTTGATAATTATGTTTCTTAAATGTTGGGATTTAATTCTTAAGTTAAGTATCAAGTTACAATTATTTTCTTAGGACTGAAAGTCACAACTATTAGTACTACTTTATTTTTATAATGAGAAAGTAATGTAAGAATAAATTATACTACTTCTTTAATAAACAAGAATTTAGTGATAATACAATAATAATGTAAAATAATTTTACATCCTCAATCAATTACAATTTACTTTAAATAATAAATTTGTTAATTTTTATAATACTTATTTTAAAATTCATACAAATAGTAATCACATATTATAATTCACTGTCTAATTTTTTCTTTGAGATTACATCACCATTCCACAAGATTTTACCTATTGATAAATAATCAATCATTATGGTTTTATGAATTTAACAATTTGCAAGGGGATATTGTCCCATCCAAAAATTAATGTTTTTTAAAGTAAATACATGTGAAGATTTCCACCAAAATGTTTTCGTAATATTGATCATTTTCCTTATTCTGATGAATACTTTTAAATATAGACCTGATTTAAATGTGTTCATCAAAATCTATTTGTTAGTAATAAAAAATATTAATTTTGTAGGAACAAATTAAATATATTTTTTAAAAATTAGGAATATTATGGAAATAAATTATAAGACATGTTATCTCCATTTTATTAATTTAATCGTGTTTAAAAATTTAAAATTTTAAATGAGACTTTTTACAATTATAACTATCTTAAAATCTAATTTATAACATATATAACAAATATCTTTAATTCAATTTGGTGCATCTAGATTAGAAATTCAAAACCTAAATTTAACTTAGTTAAATCTGAAAAACAAATTTTTGGAAAGAATTCAAAACCAATTGTATTTAGTGATGTTTCTCAGATATTGTAACACTTTATTTTTAGAGAAAAAATGTGACTAATTTAATAACTAAAATGAAATTAAATTGTGTAGTGATAGTAACTTTGTCCTGTCTTCATATTCTCATTCCTCTCTCTTTCTCTCTCCCATGAAAACTATCACTTAAACACCATTGTGTAGAACAGCAAGAAATCCTCTTAGGCTTAGTACCCATTTCTTTGCCTTTGACTATGATCTTTTTAATTATAATTTTCTCCATTTCTCGAGTGAACCAAGCCATCAATGTTTTGGATAATAGAGTTCTCTTGATAACTACCTTTTGACAATGGTGAGAGGATTGATCCTGCTGCAAAACCAATAGCATGGTGTCTATTTA